ACATAGACCAATGTGAATCTTAGATGAAAAGGTTAAATTTCTTTTTATGTTAATTTTGTTGTGCATATTTTGAACTGATTCATGTTTTGTGTTCATTAAATTAGGTTAATAACATTGGAGCTGTAGAGAATGGTTTAAAAGAATTTGCATGGAGTCCTGATCAAGAATTTCTCATTTTATTAACTGGTAATATTTTATATTTTCTATCTGTACATTTTGCAACTTATTATTTCAATTATATTTGTTTACATGATTTTTGTTGTCCATTCAATGTTTTAATGCGTTCATACGAAAAATATACAAGTGTAAAAGAAAGAATACCTTTTAAAGTAAGAGATCGCATCATTTGAAACATAAAAAATCAACACATATAGTTTTGTGCAATCCTTTTACAATATTGAAAATTCCCAAGCATTAATCAAGTTGTTAATTTTGTGTGTTCACTTAATGTCAACTATTATATATTTTGTAATGTAAATGTTAGATTAACCCATTTCAGGTCAAGCATAGAAATTTATGAAATATGGTATTATTTTCATTAAAATATGCTTAAATTACATTTATTAAGACAAAAAAGTTTCATGCATAAAAGATAATATTTAATTGAAGAATTAAAATGGTGTGTTTGGCCACTGCACCAATGACCAAATCAATGGATAAATCATTATGTTGAATGCTAAATTTTTTTATGACATTTGTTTTACTTTCATTTTATTTACAGAACTTGCAACTTTAATCCATCATAAGAACATATGATTAATATTAAAAGGAATAATTATTCATTTTCAAAAAGTCAAATTTGTAAATCGTGGTTTCAAGTTAAAAAACTAGCGTAATTTGTGTTTGAAAATTTCTCTATAGAAAGTATTTACTCTAATTGAATTATTAATTTTTTATAGATGTCTTCAGAACTCTTGAAAATAAAATTCATGAAAAATATATATCACAGCGATAATAAAAAAATATTTATTGAAATGATGCATTTTTTCACCTTTGGCGGAAAATGGATTAATACAATGTTTAAAAAATAAAAAATGCATAAACTTTCAGAGGAGCATTTACATAATTTATAAACTGTTGATTGAAAAATTCTCTGAAATCTCTTGGTTATTATTATTTCTTTTTAGTTCTCAATTATTGTTAAGTACTGTTGATGTATGTTATCCAAAACAATAACATAATGCTTTTCATAATAATGATAAGCAAATCCTAAAAAAAAAATTCTTTTTTCAAAGAAGTATTTGTAAAAAATTTTATCATTTTTTGGAATTTCTAGATTTTTTTTCTTTATTAATTTTTAAGTTGAGGATGTCATAAATAAAATAAAAAAATAATGAAATCAAAAAGTGGAGCAAACAATATTCAAGTTCAGTAACTTTTTTTTTTATACTTTCTTCATTTTTAATCTTTATCATATATTCTATTTATCTCCTGAATGTCTGAATAATTCTGCTTACTTTCTTTTCCTTCCTTTTCTCCTTTTTTTCTTGTTTGTTCAGAAAATAATTAAAAGACATTTATTGCTAAAATGGATCTGGGATTCACGAAATCATCCTAATTATGTAACTCTTTTATTAGAAAGATGTAGAAAACCTATGAGTTTTGAGATAAATCTCACAATGTTTTGAACTTAACTGCAGGCATTTTTAGAAATAATGTTTCATTTAGTGTTTCCTATTGCAATAAGCAATTTTAAAATTTTATTAAAAACATTTTTTTCTCATCTTGTTGAGTTTAATTCTGCTTTTGTATCTCGCATCTGCTATCTATTGTCCAAAAATGACCAACAATTCAAAAATAAATGGTGATAGGTGGAAATGTATGATTTATTGCATTCTGTTTAGCTTTTATTGTGTTCTGCTAATTGGAAGAACAATGTCATATCATTCCAACTAAAATGCTTGCATCAGCAGTCTGTTAATTCTAATCCTTAAACTGTTAGATGTCATTGTTGATTATTTTTGTGGTTACAGTAGAACCTCGATTAACTGACATCTTTGGAACCAGGGGAAAGTCGGAAAATTGAAAAGTCAATTTTTTAGTGTATTAACATTAAATTATGAGTAAAATTACTCAAAATAATATAACCAAATTTGAACAAAAATGTTTTTTTTTATTATAATAAATAATGATATAATGTAATGAAAAAAAGTCATTGATCATCAATGCATTTTTATTTTCTACTTAATTGTAATTAACAGCAAAATTTCAAATTCATTATACTTGTTGAAAGGGTCATCAGATAATTGAAGTCTCAGAGGATCAGTGTTCTACTTTATTTTGAAAACATTCTTCAGGGTGCTTAGCATTTTTAAAAAGTGCTGAAAGGTGCTTATTTTCTTTTTTTGAAAGCCCTTAAAGGTGCTTTTCTCATTTGGTGTTTTTAAAAAGTGCTTAATTTTTCCTTTTTCAGAATGAGATTTTGTCTATACCGTGTTGATTTTTGCTACAAATTATGCAAAATGACACAGTTCACATTGTTTTATTCAGCTTTTTCTCAATTAAATTCAACCCCAATCTGTTTCGGCGTATTGTTAGTTCGTAGCGTATGAAAACGCCATTCGTTTTATATGGTTCAAAATTTCATGATTTTTGACAATTGTCATAAACAATGCCATAATTTTTTTTTTTTTTTTTTTGTGCTTTAAAGATAAACAAGACAAGATTAAAAACAAGATAAAGCCGTCAATTGTGAAAAACTTTCCAACCCTGCCTAATTATGATATTTTCTTTAATGTGCTTAAAAAATATATTTTGAGTGCTTAAAAGTTGCTTATTTTTTGTTGAATAATTTGGCTATGCACTCTGTTCCTATATAGTTTTTTTTTTAAAATTATTAATGCCATTTACTGATGAACTTTGTAACTGATTTTAAAATTTTGTGAGAATCCTAACTTCTTATCAGAACACAGGAAACCTTTACCTTTCTATATCCCTACTTAGTTTATTTTTTAAATTGTAAGGCATTTTTAGGACACCAAATTTAAAAAGCTTATGAACGTTGTTTTAAAGTTGTGGAGTACTTTTGATCCGCAGGACAAGAAATTAATGGTTGGCCGATTTAAACGAATAGTTTTGAAGTTAAAGTTGCAGTGTCTTCCTTGTTTCATTCCATCTATTCTATTGTTTTTCAGTTTCATTGTTTAAATTCATAAAATTCTAGAGCTGAACAGTGAATTGTTAAAAAGTTTTGATGCTAATAAATTAATGTATCATAGTTTTATCAGCACCAAATTTATTTAAATGGATTAATTTATTTCATTTTTGATTCGCTTTTGTGATTGGTGTTTATTTTTTAAAAATATTAGGTTTTTAGAGCAAAATAATAGATAAAAAGTATACAGTCTAAAATTTATCTGATGTACACAAATGTATTAGTGAATTGTAAATGCCTCTGTTTGAATGTTTGGAATTTTTTCAAATAAGTAAAACCCATTTGTTTAATTTTTAATTACTTTATAGGACAAAGGACATTTGTTCTCATGACAAAGGAATTTGACCCAATCACTGAAAAAGAACTCTCTCCTGAAGAATTTGGACAAAGTAAGATTAAATCGGTTTTTATTAATGACGATTTTAAGGTTCTCTATTGAATAAAATTTATATTGACTCTTTCTTTTTTTCTGTTTAAATGTTGGAAACTCTCATTAAACTGTATGTATTTCTGTAGTTTATCTTTAATGTTTTATTAATACTAAACAAAGATTTTGTTTGTTTGATTTTTTTAAAAATAATTTGTTGTTTAATGTTTTCATATTAGATTTTCTATCTGTAATAGCCATGATTTATCCCTAGTTCAACAAATGAAATTCTTTATTTTACTATACACAGTGATTCAGAATTTTCATTATTAAAACAGATATGTAATTTTATATTTAATTTATTCCATATGTATTTCTTTAAAAGTATCTATGAAAAATAATAAATTTTCTTTTAAATTTTATTCTAAAGTGGAAAGATGTATATATTTTTTTAAAAAATATGTTAATGTATTAAAAATAAATTATTTTTTATATTTAATATTTCATTTTCCGTTCTTCGATAATTTCATTTCTCTTTATGTGAGAATTTATGTTATATTCTGCTTTAATTAGTATTTTTTTTAATTATTTTTTATTTCTATTAGGTAAACCAATAAATGTTGGCTGGGGTTCTAAAACAACTCAGTTTCATGGTTCTGAAGGAAAGGGAGCTGCTTTAATAAGACAAAAAGTAATAGTTTATACTGTAATATTTATACATATTCAAATTCCAATCAAAGTTTTATATTCAAATAAATTTGGAAAAAGATAATAAAAAAATTTTGTTCATTAAAAATTTAATTTGTTATGAGTATTATTAGCTTTTTTTAATCATCATAAATATTTGTTATAAGCATTTAAATAATTATTGAGTTTTGATAAATTTATTATGCTGAATCAATTTTCAGTTTTATCCTATTTTGGCTCAGAAATTCCACTTACTTTTTTTCCCTGATAGTTTTCTAACTTTTTGCCATTAGCTCTGATCACTTTTTTAAAATAATTTTTGTTATTGAACAAAAGATATTTTTTCTGGGAATTTTACAAATAAATATTTTTTTATTATTATTATCTACAATTATTTATTCATTTGGAGAAAATAATTGCATCTTGTTAATTATAGTAATTTTTAATATTTCCATTAGTTTTTATCAATAGACAATGAAATTTAACAAAGCCCTTAATTTTTATCTAGCACCCAAAGTTTCAAGTGCTTTTCAATTTTAAATTACTTTTTATTTTTTATGTAGATTTCAGCTAACCTTAAATAAGTTAAGCACATTATATAATAGCAGACTTTTGAAACTTATGAAAGAAAAAGGGGTTAAAAGCAAACGAAAACTCTTTTACAAATGTTTTATTGTGTAAATTAAATTTTTTTATTTTCATAATTGATGATTAATTAAAGAAAATTTGATCCAGTCAATTAGAAAATATAAATTTTCTTCAAAAAGAAAATTTCTGTTCAAATTTTCTTTTTGTTTTGACTTTTTCAAAAATTTATTCACAGTACATATTTGTATAAGTAATATCTTCATAAAATATATATTTAAAAAAAACTTTACTCCTTATAAAGTTATGTCAAGTTACAGTTTGGATCAAATTTTATCATTACTGTTTATATATGCATAAGGAATTTCCATTAGACACTATTACTGACACAGAGATCCAATCAAAGTATAAAAATTGTATTAAACAAAATTTAATTTAAAAAGAAGTCAAAATGGAACTGCATTAAAAAGTAGTTAAAACCAAAATTGTCTTAAATAAACAATATAAATAAAAATGTGAGAATTTAAATACGGGCAAAACAAAATTTAAAGGTATGCATGTTATTAAAAACAGCACTTCATCAATTGACACACTGCTTTGCCAACATGCTGAAACCTTTCTGTTGTCAGTGGTAAAACCAAAAACCGACAGTGCCCCTAGGCCCCATAATGGAAAATAAAATGAGTCAATAGTTTAAAGAAAATAAAATAAGATAATAGGAAAATGAAACAATGCAATACCTCAAAGAATAAAGGAAAATGAAAATCCAGTAAAACACAATAACACTAGTCGGAATTACACTGAGAAAAAACACGAAGACTGACCTTGTCTACATATGAGAAATACAAAGTGAAAGTTACAGTTAGAAAAACCGAAATTATGCAAATTGTCAGATTCTCATATTTTTATTTATATTGTTTAATGACACAAAGAATCATTTTCACTTACAGATTGAAGTGGATATCACTAATCTAATTGAAATATAGCTGTTAAAAATAAACATTAAAAAATATTCTTACTATATTCCTTTTCAGGAGCCAACTTCAGCTCTTCCACATGATGATAAACTCCCAAGAATAAGTTGGAGAAATGATGGTGAATATTTTGTTATATCCAGTATTGATGAAGTAAAAGGTTAGTATGAATAAAAAAAATTTTTTTTTTTTTTTGGTTTTTCATTCTTTAAATTGCAGATATTTTTGCATTTTTTTAAAAAAATATTAAAATTGATTAGTAAAACTAATGTGCAATTATAATTGCTCATATTTACATTATTTCCTACATTTTAAATTTTTTCTCATACTACTTGTCATATTATATTATTAATGATTGTATAAGGAAAAACTAAAATATTTGAGTGTCAAACATTGATCTAATGAAATTAGGACCTAGCGAACGCTCAGTTGTCACGAACTTTTTTTAGTTTCTCTTGTGAACTCCTATTTAAATAATATTATTTTATAAGCTTATATATATAATGGCTAACTGAAAATTGGTAATTTGCTCATAGTAGACTCTAATTTCATTTTGTCAGTTTTTATTATTTATTATTATTATTTCTCCAAATTTAAATTTGCTGAAGTTGCAAATGGAAACGACAAAATTTTTTTGCAAATTGTAAAATCTTCTTACATGCATGCTTTAAATTTGGGCAAATAAGTTGTTTAACATCACATTCCTCTAATCCCTTACCCTCCCCCCTTCCACGTTGAAGATGAGCAAGAAATTTAAGTAATTTATCTCTGAAGTAAAATCGGTATTGAATTTTTTCCCCTGCAGATCCTATAATGAGGCCTAGAAAATTTCTGCATTCTTTACAAATTGTTGAGGCAAAAATTGGTGATTTTTCCTTAAAATTGAATTGTAGTCTGTCAAAAAATCACTAATTTCTTCAATAAAATGAAAAAATTAGTTCATTCATTTTCTTTTTTTATATTTGATTTATCATCAGTTTATAATTTATAAAAAAAATTTTATGTACTATCACAATCGTTATTTCCAACACTATTGTAATCATATGCTAAAAAATAATTTTGAAAATAATTTGGAAAGAGTGAGCTACCATTTATAGTGATTTTATTGCTGGGTCTACAGACAGTTTACTGTAATGAGGTTTCACTGTATTATCATTTATTTATACTAAGCAAAAAATAATTATTATTACAATAAACATAAAATTATTATTAATTTTGTGATTATTGTAACATTTTAGCTTTGTTCATGTTAAGACTACCCATTTTTTAAGGTGGATAAGCTATTCATTGATGATAAATTTGTTGTGAAATATCCAGTTGGGTATGGCCTATTTTGTTAAGAATTATTATTGATAGAAATATAACACAGCAAAAAAACTGAAAATATATTGAATTATCAAAAGCTCACCTAACTCAAGATTAATGTAATGAATATCATTTTTATTTGAATGAATACATGTAAAATCTTGTTTAAAGCTCTAGACTAGAAATGTTTTAAGTAAAGGAAGTCTTATTTTTGAATGTTTCTTTTAATTTCCTTACAATAACTTCTCTTGCAACAAAAAAATAAATAACATATAAAATCTTTCTAAACACGCATGCAACTGTTCTTTTATGTCATTTTTATTTTTTGTGTTTAAAATTTTGACAGCTATTTTAGAAAGGATGAAAAATAAATCTAAAGAATTACTTTGTAAATAAATTTATGTTTTCATAAAAATGTAAAATTATTCTGAATAAATACTTGACATATAATTAACTATTCTATAACTTCTGAAATTATAACTTAAATCAACCCAACAAAATGAATCTAAGTAAATGTTTAAAGTACAGCTAATTTTTTAACACTACTTAAATTACTTAAACAACTTAGCAAAATGAATAATAACATATGTTTCTAATCGACAGATAAATACCCAAGTTTAAGGTGCCATATAAAGGAAATATATAGATATAGATTAATATATAGATATGTGATGAATGAAATGAAATTTGAACTTGCAGGTTATAGATTGCTGCGAATTTGGAGTAAAGATGCAATCTTACAATTTACAAGTGAAGTTTTAGAAGGTATTGAAGAACCACTATCTTGGAGGTAAGTTAAATTGTTCCCCAACATTGTTTACTCATTACAAAATATTTTTTACAATTTTCCAAATTTTTATTTTTAGACCATCTGGTGATTTCATAGTTTGCAGCCAGCAGAGTCCTAATAAGCATAAGATTATTTTTGTTGAGAAGAATGGCTTGAAACATTTAGAATTTACACTTCCTTTTAAACCTAACACATTTAAGGTAAGTAAAAAATATTTTACCTAAAATAATTTTTTTTTCCAAAGTACTTAATTAATAATTATCAAAATAGTACTTTGTATTAAAATATTCAAAAAAGAAAAAAAAATGAGGTATGTATTTTTAATAATATCTTCTAGTAAGCTAAGCATATTTTACTGTAAGTGAATCAAGTAATGGTATTTTGAAACTTAANGATTTCAGCTAACCTTAAATAAGTTAAGCACATTATATAATAGCAGACTTTTGAAAAGAAAATTTCTGTTCAAATTTTCTTTTTGTTTTGACTTTTTCAAAAATTTATTCACAGTACATATTTGTATAAGTAATATCTTCATAAAATATATATTTAAAAAAAACTTTACTCCTTATAAAGTTATGTCAAGTTACAGTTTGGATCAAATTTTATCATTACTGTTTACATATGCATAAGGAATTTCCATTAGACACTATTACTGACACAGAGATCCAATCAAAGTATAAAAATTGTATTAAACAAAATTTAATTTAAAAAGAAGTCAAAATGGAACTGCATTAAAAAGTAGTTAAAACCAAAATTGTCTTAAATAAACAATATAAATAAAAATGTGAGAATTTAAATACGGGCAAAACAAAATTTAAAGGTATGCATGTTATTAAAAACAGCACTTCATCAATTGACACACTGCTTTGCCAACATGCTGAAACCTTTCTGTTGTCAGTGGTAAAACCAAAAACCGACAGTGCCCCTAGGCCCCATAATGGAAAATAAAATGAGTCAATAGTTTAAAGAAAATAAAATAAGATAATAGGAAAATGAAACAATGCAATACCTCAAAGAATAAAGGAAAATGAAAATCCAGTAAAACACAATAACACTAGTCGGAATTACACTGAGAAAAAACACGAAGACTGACCTTGTCTACATATGAGAAATACAAAGTGAAAGTTACAGTTAGAAAAACCGAAATTATGCAAATTGTCAGATTCTCATATTTTTATTTATATTGTTTAATGACACAAAGAGTCATTTTTACTTACAGATTAAAGTGGATTTCACTAATTTAATTGAAATATTGTTCATAACAGTTAAAAATGAACATTAAAAATATTTTTATTATATTCCTTTTCAGGAGCCAACTTCAGCTCTTCCATATGATGATAAACTCCCAAGAATAAGTTGGAGGAATGATGGTGAATATTTTGTCATTTCCAGTATTGATGAAGTAAAAGGTTAGTATGAATAAAAAAGTAACTTTTTTTTAGGTTTCTCATTCTTTTGCATTTTAAATTGCAGATGTTTTTGGTATTTTTATTTTAAAATATTAAAATTGATTAGTAAAACTAATGTGCATTTATAATTGCTCATATTTGCATTATTTCCTGCATTTTGAATTTTTTCACATACTACTTGTCATATTATATTATTAATGATTGTATTAGGAAAAACTAAAATTTTGAACTGTTAAATACTGATCTAATGAAATTGGGATCTAGCGAACACTCAGTTGTCACGAACTTTTTTTATGTTCTCTTGCGAACTCCTATTTAAATAATTTTATTTTGTAAGCTTATATATAGCTGATAAGTGAAAACTGGTAATTTGATCTTAGTAGACTCTAATATCATTTTGTCAGTTTTTTTTATTTATTTATTTTTATTTTTTTTATTTATTTCTCCAAATTTAAATTTGCAGAAGTTGCAATTGGAACAGGCGACTTTTTTTTACAAAGTGTAAATTATTCTTTTGCATGTTTTTAAATTAGGGCAAACAAGTTGTTTAACGTCACATTCCTCTAATTCCTTAACCACCTCCTTCCAATGTTGAAGACAAGCAAGAAATTTAGGTAATTTATCTCAGAAGTAAAATCGGTATTGAATTTTTTTTCCCCTGCAGATCCTATAATGAGGCATAGAAAATACTGCATTCTTTACTAATTGTTGAGCCAAAATTTGAACAGTGATTTCTCCTTAAAATTGTAGTCTGTCAAAAAATCTCTAAATTTTTCAACAGAATGAAAGAATTAGTTCATTCTTTTTCTTTTTTATTTATTATCAGTTTATAATTCATAAAAAAAATTTATGTTCTATCACAATCATTATTTCCAACACTATTATAATCATATGCTAAGAAATAATTTTTAAATAATTTTGGAAATAGTGAGCTACCATTTATAGTGATTTTATTGCTGGGTCTACAAGCAGTTTACTGGAATGAGGTTTGACTGTATTATCATTCATTTATACTAAGCAAAAAATAGTTATTATTGCAATAAACATAAAATTAATTAATTTTATGATCATTGTAACATTTTATCTTTGTTCACTTTAAGGCTACACACTTTTTAAGTGGATCAGCTGTTTACTGATGATAAATTGGTAGTGAAATATCTGGTTGAGTGTGGCCTGTTTTGTTAAGAATTATCATTGATAGAAATATAACGCAGCAAAAAACTGAAGATATATTGAATTATTAAAAGTTCACCTAACTAAAGTTTATTGTAACGAATATCATTTTTATTAGAATGAATACATGTAAAATCTTGTTCAAAGCTATAGACTAGAAATGTTTTAATTAAAGCGAGTCTTATTTTTGAATGTTTCTTTTAATTTCCTTACAATAACTTCTCTTGCAACAAAAAAATAAGTAGCATATGAAATCTTTCTAAACATGCATGCAACTTTTTTTTATGTCACTTTTAATCTTTTGTCTTTAAAATTTCTACAGCTATTTTAGAAAAGATGAAAAATAAATCTGAGGAATTACTTTGTAAATAAGTTTTTTTTATATACAAATGCAAAATTATCCTAAATAAATACTTAACTAACTATTCTGTAACTCCTTAAATTATAACTTAGGTCAACCTAACAAAATGAATCTAAATAAATGTTTAAAGTACATAAAATTACTTAAACAACCTAACAATATAAGGGAAATATATAGATATAGATTATGTGATGAATGAAATAAAATTTAAACTTTCAGGTTATAGATTGCTGCGAATTTGGAGTAAAGATACAATCTTACAATTTACAAGTGAAGTTTTAGAAGGTATTGAAGAACCACTATCTTGGAGGTAAGTTTAATTGTTCCTTAATTTTGTTTACTCATTACAAAACATTTTTTGCAATTTTCCAAATTTTTATTTTTAGACCATCTGGTGATTTCATAGTTTGCAGCCAGCAGACTCCTAATAAGCATAAGATTATTTTTGTTGAAAAGAATGGCTTGAAACATTTAGAATTTACACTTCCTTTTAAACCTAACACATTTAAGGTAAGTAAAAAATATTTTACCTAAAATAAATTTTTTTTCCAAAGTACTTAATTAATAATTATCAAAATAGTACTTTGTATTAAAATATTCAAAAAAGAAAAAAAAATGAGGTATGTATTTTTAATAATATCTTCTAGTAAGCTAAGCATATTTTACTGTAAGTGAATCAAGTAATGGTATTTTGAAACTTAACAATGTAAAAAAAGTCATCAAAGTTTAATCAAATTCTCTCTCTCTTTCTTTATATACATATATATATATAGCACAATAAAGGCAAAAAAAAAGCAAGGAAAATTAATAAGTGTTACCTACTGCACATAATCTGAAGTTTATAAAAGTAATAAAATAAGTTAAAAATATGGGAGAAACATGGAAAATAATGAAGATTGATAAAAAAAGATGAAGAAAAATAAAATATTTTTAAGAAATATATATTTTTTAAATTATTTAAAATGAAAAAAGCGGGAAATCAAAATAATGAAAAAATATAATCCCTTCATCAACTCACAGATTATATCTGCAAAAAAAATATTTTATTTTTCTTCATCTCTGTTCATTTACTATTTTCCATGTTTTCTCTATATTTTTAATATTATATGTATATATATTATGACTTTTTAATGATGTAAATTTGTATGCAAATATATTATTTTTAAATATGTTAATTAAGTTTAGAATTTTCTCTAATGTATTATTATGTTAACTGTTTCTATTTATCACACTTGTTGTTTCTTTTTATACCAGGTTTCACAGTTATCGTGGAGTAATGATTCTAGTGTCCTAGCTGTTGTTGCCACGGAATTATCTGACAATTTTTCTGACTGCCAAGGTAATTGCATTCAAATATAAAATAGCATTAGTTAATTCTTAAATATTAGTAATTTAAAAGATTTAAAGCACATTAGTTACATTTTTCTAAAACTATTGTGTGAATATTATTAATTTTTTTTTTCAATTATTTGTGAAATCTCATTTTTTAAATTGTTTTATCCAAATAACATTATTGAATTATTAATAAAAATTAAGGTAATTTTTTTAATTAATTAGGTTATGGGGAAAAGTATATTATTTTTAGACATTTGATAATCATTATATTTATTACAAATAATATAAATTATCTATAAGACATTTATTAATTAATAGTTACATTGATTTATTAAATTAAACGTATACAAAATCTTGTTATTGACTGAAGATTTTTAACATTTAACAAAAAATATGGCTTTAACCAGGGATTTCGCAACTGTGTTCTAAACCTTACCAACCTTTTTTTTTTTAAATATGCAATATTTTTTTATTGAAAGTTTGAAATTTGCATTTTAAATAATGTTAACCGTTCATGTAAATGTTCTTTTCACAGTGATGTTATGGACTACAGGGAATTACCATTGGTATATGAAACAAAGACTTTATTTTCAGCGAACTGCTTTGCAGAAAAGTGTAATGGTAAAATGGAGTTTAAATGATCTGTTAGAACTGAATTGTTATGACCAAGCTGTGAGTCATTTTTACAATTTTAAATGGATTCAGTCTATATTTCATAGTCCAGCACAATATGAATGTGAGGATTCATTAGTCGTATCAATAGATAATGGTACGTATGTTAGATACTATGTATGGCTCTTTTTTATGTTTATAGACTTTTATTTAGTTAAGTAATTCAAGTTATTATTTCTTTTTTACCTTTGCTTGCATTTGTTTGCCTGACTTTGTATATTCTCTTTATATGTTTAATTAAGTACTACTTAAAATTAGAACTGTTACTTTTTGTTAGATATCAAAACGCCTAGGCGTTTTACCCTTATTGCACCCCCCACTCCACTTTGCATCTCTGTCAGATAAGCAAGCATTCTTTCACTCAAGAACTTTGAACAAGGAAGTTCACTTGTCAGCTCTCTCATGAGCTACTTTTCATTGTTTACTGCTATTGCAGCAGTCATAATAATTTTCTTCGTGTATATAGTGCATTTGTTTTATTAAGTTTTGTTTAATAAATGTTAAATCAAACAACTACAGTCCGCTTTCTATTACATACAATGCACACTTTTAGTATTACATCATTAAGTGTATAGCCAATTACAATTTTACATAATAAACTGTTCTGAAAATTATTTTGTAGTACTTGAAACTGCATACTTATTATTATCCTTCCAATGAAAGCATTTTTTTATTCTAAATATTTATTTTATTGTATTAATGTATCAAAATAAATTAAATATATTTTTCCAAAACCTGTTCTGACATATTTTTGTTTGACTAATTATCTAAATTTTTTTTTTGATAAATTCAACAAACCTTTTATGTTTCTCGCATTACTTACTCGGATTATTTTAATAAATAAAAAAGAATTTTAATGCGTTTAACCCATACTATATTATTGCTATCGTCTGTCAAAGTTTCTTGTATGGAAATTAAACCTTCTAATGCACAAACTTTTAACAAGATCTCAAACAACCACTGGCATATATTTGTGACATGAAAGAAAGATTTAAGTAACCCCATTTTTTATTCTGGTTTTTAATAAAATTCAGGGAAAATATTGCATTTCAGTGCTTTTTGTCTGTTCAGTTGAGTATAGATTAACAAGAACCACAAAGAAAGAAAATTCTTAAATATGGAGAATTTAGCATTGGTCTTATATAAAATATTTTTGGTTCCACTAAATTTCATTGCTATAAGTTGAAAATTTGATTTTCTGATGTGCAATCAAGTAAGAGTGATAATGTGTTATTTAAAATTGAACTGAGCTCTTAAGTTTCTCAAGTTAAGATTTTTAGAAAAGCTACATTTCTGAATGTTTTAATTAAGGGCTTTTAAAATTTACTGACATTTTATGCATATAAAATTTTGTTCTATTTCAGTTAAAAACAATTTTGTTATGATTATAAATTCTAATAATTTTTATAATTTTGCCCGTAATGAGCTTAAAACTTCTCTTTTTGTAAAATTAAAATTTTTTTCTGCTGTTTGTCATTTTTTAAATGAATTTACTTATGTTATATTACTATTCTATTTATTTTTCTTATGAAATTAAATTAAATATTTTGTATTATAACAGAAAGTATTTTGATTTCTCCATTTGGGAAGCTTGTTGTCCCTCCCCCCATGTGTGGTTACAAGTTCAATTTAAACTCTTCTGTGCAATCTGTTTTCTTTGCACCTGATACACCTTCCTTTGGAGCTTATTTAGGCAACTATAAATTGGCCATTTTCTCTAAAGGTAAGCAATATTTTCTATTTTTGCTCTTTAAAATTAATTTTAATTATTTCAATGAGATAGCAAGCTTACTTTCATTTAAAATAAAATTTAAAGTTTTTATTTTAAATTCTTACTACTTCTCTTTAATTTTTCATTATTTAAATTTTATAGAAAATAATTGTATAATTCAAGGTGTATAATAGTACTTTGCATTATTTTGGAGGTTTTTTGATCTATCTATGTCTTTTAGGTGTTCTAAGTAAAGTGTTCTGTTGTGTATTTTTTATTTTACTTATTAAAGTTGAAATATTCATTTATTTTTAACATATTGACTCTGTGTCAAATTTAACAAAAGATTCACTGCTACACATTTCTTTCTTATTGGATAACTGGTATAAAAACTGATCATCAGGATTAAAACTGCAAAGCAATTCATCCCCAGGAATTTCTTTATACGCCCATTGTGAACTATCTCTTGGTGTGCGACAATATTTCCAGGCATGGGTTCCTATGCAATTTTAATCCTGATAATGTGCCCTAACTGTTTGTAGCAACATTATTTTTGCAACCTTCTATTATATTTACCTTTTCTTAAAATTGTTCATTTCAAAATCCAAATTTAACAAACAAAATGGAATATTTTGCTTAATACAAGGTTATAAATGTATTAGCTATAATGTAATAAGTAATGTTTTCTCTTATTCTGAGATTTAACAAATTAAAAAATTTTTGTAGCATGGAATATTATCAGATATAATGAAAACCTATTTATATTTGTGTTTGAAGAAAAATACATTGTACGCTATCAATCATTTAAAATTATCGAGGTATTTTGATTCATAATTTGTAAAATATGTTTTGGTGTCATTTAAATAATAGTTGAACGGTTTTTTGTTATTCATGACAGGGAAGATCCCCAGGAATAGGGAGAATGCTAGTTACACTACACAGTGGGTCAGCTCATTTTCTGAAGATGAAATTTGTCTAATTTCCAAAATATCGGTGCATATCTGGTTTCAAAGTCGTGTAAAAAAAAGTTCATCCACGGTGTTTATTCTTTCAAGAAAACCATTGTTTTATTCAGCTGTTTAAAATGCTGCACAGAAGATTTTAATCAGTAACAACTGAATCATAATTGTGTGAAGTTAAACAATCATTGTTACATGGATATTTTTTCACTTCTCAAAAGGATCTGGCAGAAATCCATGCCATATTTTTTTAGATTTAATTTTTTTGTATTTACCTAGATTTCAAAAGATATTTTAACGAGATATTAAAAGATATTAAACGATATATTAAAAGATATTAAACGAGTTTTGTGAAAAAAGTTCTGTTTCTTGAGTCTCTTGTTATATGCAGGTTTTACTGATGTATTAGTAATATCTTGAATGTAGTATAAAGTAAAATATATAAACAATTTCCAATCTAGAAATTTAATTACTGTTATCTCTTTTATGATATTCTATTTCTCTAAGTTTTCAATGGCTTAAAATTGTATTGGATATTAAATGCTTAAAATAAGTTATGTAAGATATTTTAAAATTAAGTAGGGCTGCTCTTCATTCTCTTTATTTTTGCACCAGACATAGTCTATAACTTCATTTGATTTTGTTCATATTATTGGTCAAGTGGATGCAGTAAGATTTTTTTTATCTTTAGTTTGGCACAGCATAGCCTCATCTGAAATTTGTTCCATTAAACTGTATATTTAACCCAATTTGTACCTTTGAAATTCATTGTGACATTATTAATATCAGATATTTGCTTCATTAAAATAACTTTTTTCAATTTTTGATAGAAAATCTATTATATTAATTTTTAGGGAGCTTCGAGTTTTTAACTGATGCAACAACAGAAAAAAATGAATGTACATTTCAGTTGCAAGCTGCTGGAGGAAATGGTTTCAAATCTCAAGTGTTGCCATACTCTTTCCAAACTTTATTGTGGTGTGTAACATCTAATGTACTTTGGTGTTCAAATCTGTTAAAACTTTGTGTGTTTAAAAAAATGTATTTAAAAAAAATTTTTTTTTTAGATATTTCTTGCAAATAATTAATTTAAATAATTAAATTATCTCTTTTAAATAATCGATCTCTGGTCTAGAGTTTAAATAGGACTCTTGAATTTTTAATATTCAGCCTCTTCTTTTCAACCAACAATGACACTGTTTATGAAACTAATATATCAATTATCCCGAAAAGGAAAACAAAAAAGCATCAATATCGTAGTTCGAAAACAGCAAAAAGTAGTTGCAGTTTAATGTGACAAAAATGTAAACATTTCATAATTTTAATATTTTAAGAAAACTTTCTGTAACCAAAATATGTTCAAAATAAATATAGTGCAAATACTTATTTTAAATAAAAAATGCAAGTAACTTTTATACAATAAAAGTTACTTACATTTACATAAATAAATGTAAGTATTGTAAAAATTATGAACCTCCTTTATTAAAGGATGTTGAGTAAAATCAAACTTTCTGTTTAAAAAAATTGGAAATATTTTTTCTAAAAAGGAGGTTTGAAACTCGCCATTGCTTAATTTTGTAAAAAAAGACAGGATATGTAAAGTTCACATGTTTTTTTTACTTCGTAAATGTTACATGTTTACCCTGCCTTTTGGTTTTTAAGACAAATTGTTGTTAATGTACTTTTTACATATAATACCTAAATTATTTTCGATTTCTGCAGGAGCTAAATTTTTTCTTTTTTTTAATGTGATTAAATTCGGAAAAAGTTTATTCTCCTAAGTTTACAATGCCTTTTTTCCCTTTCTTGTCTTCGCTATATCAGACAGTAAAATCTATTTGCCTACATTTTTCTTTAAATTATTTAGTACTAGCCGCCCATGGCAGCCAGGTAGTAAGCATGAACATATTCACCCCATTTTGTCTATTTTGGTAAAAAAAGTGTTAGTTAGCCTTACTGTGTTTAAGGCTAATCTCACCGTTAGTTAAAAAATTTTTATCTCTTTTCTTTTAATTCTTATCTTATTAAGAACACACATGCATTAAATTTGAGGCTTTTGTCTTGGTAAAAAGCATTGTTAAAGCGTTGCTGTCCTTTCTTTCTTTCTTTTTTTTAGTTTTTCTATTAATTTTGTAAAGAACATGATCCAAAATTGAGACTCCAAGGATCTTAATAATGCTTTTAAATTGCGATAACATTAAATTAACATATTCTTTCAGCACCAGATATCTAGGCATAGCGTTATGTGAACACTTTTTTAGAGACTAATTTTTTAAAACATCTGAGATTATATAAACGTACTTAGCAATAAGTTTTGTAGAAAAATAAAAATGTACTTACAGCAGGGTGCATAGTGTTTTTAAAAGGTGCTTATTTTAGATTTTCGTTTTTCAAAAGCCCTTAAAGGTGCTTTTTTCATTGGGTGTTTTTAAAAAGTGCTTAATTTTCCCTTTTCCAAATTAAGATTTTTCCTTTATCTTGTTGACTTTCATTACAAATTATGCAGAAAGACACTGTTTACATTGTTCTATTCAACCTTTTCACAATTAATTCAACCCCAATCTATTTCGGTGCATCGTCAGATCGTAACTTATGAAAACGCCATTCGATTTACATGATTCAAAAATTTTGACAATTGTCTAAAACAATGCCAAAGAGTTTTTTTTTTTTTTGACATGAATGTTAAAACCAGATAAAACCGTCCATTGTCAAAAACTTTACAACCCTGCCTAGTTATGATATTCTTTTAAAGTGCTTAAAAGGTGCTTATTTTTTGTTGAATAATTTGTCTATGCACCCTGTACCGGTTTAAAAAAATAAGTTTTACTGCTGGAAGCATTGCACAAATTTTTGTTTATTCACGAAGAAAACTTTGATTTCAAATCACGATAATCAAATCAATTTAATTTATATTACATTTAGTACTGATGATAACAATTGAATAATTGTCAGAAGTAAATTGTCCTTTTAGCATGAGTATTTGAATATGATCTATAAACACAGGGCTTCAGATAACTTTAGAAATAATAATTTGCAATCCTGGTAGTCCTCTGCTACCATGACCATGTTGATCTTTCAAATAATCTTGCATAAAGACTAAAATTATTTAATACAGAATGCGTAGTAATTAACTATTTTGATTAGAGCTATAAGTCAATTTTTTGATTAGAGCTATAGTCAAACTTCACTGATGTTACTTTTAAAATATTTGACGAAACTGCATCATCTATTCTATAGTTTAATTTAAAACCATGGTTTCTGCTAAACCAATGAAAAAATTTGCTTTTTTTTAATGTCTTTTTAAACAAATAATAAACAAATCAGACTTCACCATTTGTTTATACAATTGAACTAATTTTGTTTCATGTTGAACGTCGCACTTTTAGTGCACATGGTATACCTACAATCTTGTATGCAGATGCACACATGCAAAAATTCTTTATTTTATTGTATGTCTAATGTTCATAATATTTTTTTATTATTATTATTGCAGTACAAAAATCTAAACCACGTTTTTTTTTCTCTCTCTTTCCGTACAGTATAATTATGGATCCAGAATTGTCATCTTCTGTGTGGCCACTTTGCTTAAGTCATTGGACATGGGTTAAAAATAACTTAGTTCTCTGCATTTGCCAGCATTCTTATGAGAAAAAAAGTATATATTCCCTTTTATGTGTGGACTTAAATTCACCTTCCGAAACTAAAGGCATTGCTGCAAGGTAATAGTTAGTTTCTATCAATAGCATAAGTATCCCATATTAAAAATTTTACTGTAGCTTTATTTTTTATTTGCAATTTTTATGCTATTCTTGTTATTTTGCCTTTGTAGAAAAGTTGCTGACTTAGACAAATCAGTAGTTGCTATGTGTACAAATAGAGATGGATCTGTTGTTGCTATCCAGTATGAAAGTGGAATGGTTAATCGGCTTGAAATCGGTATTAGTTTTTTGATTAATTTTTTATATACAACAGTTAAAACTTGTAACAAGAATGTCTATTTGGAAATTTTTTGATGGTCTCTCTTCAAATTTTCTATGCATTCAAACTTAAAAACCTCATTTTGCAATTTTTTTATTTATTTTTCTCACGATATTTGAAAAAAATTTTTTTTCATAAATATGACGGAAAAATTTCTTATAGATAAAAATACAATTCAGGAAATTTTAGAAAATTAAAATATTCTCTACTATTAATGTGAAGAGACAAATTGTCGATAAATCAGTAGAATATTTTTAAACCATTAACTTAATAAGGTATTGTAAAATTAACCTCTCATTCATTCGAGGCTATAAGTAAACAAAGCTGGAGTATTTTAATTAACACAAAATGTAATGACATTTTGAATTTTCCCCTTCGAACAAGGAAAATAACTATTATGATTAAATAATGTTTCAGAAAATAAAAAGCATCATATTTGGACATAAATTAAATCTATGAATTTACTAAGTTGATCTATTAATATCTAAAATGAAAACAAAATGCGTACTGGCATATTTCTCATAAAAAAAATGAAATGAATATTAGTTTGTAATAAAATATTTATTTCTTATCTATGAGTATTTGTAATGAAAGCATAATAAAGCTAAATAACTGTATATTTCTGTACAAAAACTAAAATTATTATTTTTCTTTTCTTGAATGAAGCTTAGAAATGTGATATGCTCAATATATACAATCAAGAATTTGCGTTAAAAAAAAACTAAGCATAATACAATTTTAAGAAAAATTTTCTGCAAACACTTTTCTGATTGTGCAAAAACCATGATTATATGGCATTCATACTCTAACCTTTTGGGTCACTCTCAGAACTTGAGAACAGAGGGTTAAATAAATCAAAATTGCAGCTACTAAGATCATGCTGAGAATTTGAAGGCATGAAATTGTCTATCAGTTATCACCTGACTGAACAAAAAATTCAAATATAGTCTGATGAAAAATGCACGGAAAAATTGCCTTTTTGACTTAAAATTTTATTAAAAAATAAATAAAAAAAGGCACAGTGGAAAAGCTTTCAGAAAATTTTTAGTAGAAAATTTCCATTTCCAAATTTCCAATTGAAAGTATATTAAATATGTCTGAGGACACATTTAAAGTTGTTGTTTTCATAGAATATGTATCTTTACCAGATATATCATTCTTTTCTTGAGAAAACTATTTTAAAAACTTTTTTAAATAATATTTTTTTGAAAATTGTAAAAAATTTATTACTCTTTAAAAGTGTTTTTAGAAAAACTATTCCCTCTATTTTTACTGTTCATAACATGTAATTTTTGATAACTTGAATTTTCAATTTGAATTTCTCTTCAAGTGTGGTTTTGGCTGTGTTTTACATTGATATATTTAATTATTGCATACTATGTAATATAGTTAAATAGAATTTAGAATTTTAATAAGTAAAAGAATTACGAAATTAAATGTAAATAGGTCATTCAGAATTTTTCTTTTGAGTTTTATAATTTATTTTTGCTTTATTTAATTTATTTTTGCTATTTAGCTTTTATAATTACTATATGAACTTTTTATTTTAGATAAAATAATCAATAGCTCTGAAAATGCAAATAATTCCTTAATACAACATTGGGAAAAATCTTTTGGTGATTGTTTAGTTCTCAATCATCCGAGCCCTGAAATGTGTATTGTTAATAAAGTAGCTGCAAATGATTATGTAAGTTAAATTTAGTTTTACTATTTTTTTTTAAATTTTAGTTTTAAATGTATTTTTTAAAATAAAGTATAATTTTACCACAAACCTAAAGTACCTGTATCTAACATTACAGAATCAAAGAGTTTATTCAGATAACTATATGTGATATATTAAGGACCAAAATGTACTGAAAAGAAATGAAATAAAAATTAATTGATTTAACCTAGATTCATCAACAAGGCATCTTTGATAAGGATGTATAGATACCCGGCAATTGCCCAGTAACCAGCCTACCTGACCATATTTTCATAACCTGGTTATTACCTGGTCTCAGCAGAAAAATTTTATTACCTGGTATGCAGACATGGCAAAATTTTAGAAATTTGTACTGCTCTAATCCTTCATCTTATATCAAAAAGTCTAGTTAGGCATTTTTTTTTCTTGCCTTTCAAATTAATCTTAATGGTTAAAAATATCTTTTATAAGCAAAATAAATATTGAATATTCCTATATTTCGTTAGACAGAGAGTAAAACTTTGCCAGGTGTGGTAATTAACTCTTGATATTTTTCTTTTTTTGGATAATTTTGTAACTACTTGTGGTAACTCTTTATTTAATTTACATTGCATAAAAACTTTCTTAGATGCTTCATTTTTCCAGGTTAGTGACATTCTATGCCTAAATGCTCCCCCCTCCTCCCAACCAAAAGAAAATGATAAATTGAGTTGATCATAAAAACTATGAATTTAGAAAAATTATTTCAATATTTGAACTCAATTTGCTCTAGTGAGGATGTGTATTTATATCTAATTGTATTAGGTTTTGATCTAGTAAATTTTTTTTTTTTTTTTTTTTTTTTTTTTTTTTTTTTTTGAAATTTAGATTATTTTCTAAACCTGTACAGACTTGCAGGTGTTCACCATATCCAGGAGCTTTGCTGCTCCTTCTAATCTATCAATAAGCATCCATTTCCTTTATCTGTGTTTAAGAGGATTTAATGTTACACAAAGATTAATTTTGAATTCTGTTCCAGGGATCAATTGCTGCACTTGCCCCTAATGGTGATTTCATATTTCCTGATCACCCCGCTACACAGTTTGTGACTTCTTATTTTGTGCAAGGGGGCTTTCTTTTTTATACAAATACTAAGCATGTTCTTAATATTCATCAGTATGATGCCACTCAACATAATGGAAAACTTTTCCCCAGTAAGGAATTATATATTTTTTTATTTATTTATCACTTATTCTTTTTTAATATTTTTATGTGAAAAGGGTAGAATATTAACTTGTTTTGTACTTTTATTTTCTTTAATAAAAATGTTTAATATTTATATTTGAAAAAATGACGGCCAGGTGGCTGAGCGGTTAGCGTGTCTGACTTCGAAGTTAATGGCTGTGGCTTCAAATCCTGCTCAGGGCATGAATGTTTCTCTTTATGTGTTGTGTGTTAATGTGGCCCAGGATTTCTGTGGCAGCGTTGCATGGGTAATGTTGCTCTATTACGTCACTTTGGTCACAAGATGCTCACCAGGCAATGCAAAATGAGCAATACTTTGCCACCTTCTATGGCTAAGAACGATAAATTTAATGCCTAACAGTGAATATATAAATATACTTGTTTGTAAAAAACAATGGATTCTATTTATGCTTAAATGAATGAAGAACTACTTCTTATTTGTAGCTACTGATACTTTTGTCTGTTAATATTAAATGATAAAGAAAAATGTTGCTGTAAATGTTTGATTATAATTCTAATGTTCTTGAATGTTGCAACGTTTATTTCCATATTATTTGCATAAGGATAAAGAAGCCAGTTTTCTTAAGTTATTATGTAAGAAAAATAGAGTTTTTCATGGTACTCGTTAAGGTTTAGGAGTTTATTTAACAAGCTTACATAATGTGTGCTTTTTTTTATAAGTTTAATTTTAAACTTACAAAATAATGCTTAAAGAAATTAAATGAATTCATAGTCAGAGTTTTTAAATATCATTTCACTTTCTTCTAAATGTGTAATCTGATTTGAATATCAAACTAGATTGTCTCAGATTCAAATCTAGAAAAGTAAAATTTAGGTTAAAAAAAATTTACATTTTAAAATTTAAGTAAAGAATGTAAATTTTAAAAAAAATAATATTTAAATATTTCATATTTTAAATATGTTTTTGCTTCTTATGAATATATTTTAGTGAATACAATTGTATCAGAGCCCTTAATTAAAAAATTTCCCCAAACTTGAATTTTTGCAACTTTGTTATTGAAGTCCTGCAGGCAGACTGAACATGCCTGGTGAATTGTTTTGGGCGTCTAATTTCAAAAGAGGGAGAGATGCTTCCTTATTGTTCATTAATAAGGACAGAAAAGAAAATTTTTCTCTTTTTATCTCAACTGCTATTTTAATTGACTGTTGCATTTACCTTCAACAAAAAATTTACATTGTCTTCTAGTAGTTAATCATTATTATTTCAAATCTTAAAAAAAAATTAATCTGCAGATGATGATAATCTATAGTACCCATTGCTGTGTTGCCACAGACGACTAAAATGCAACTATTTGCAACTATTTTTAGCATAAGGCAACTATGGCAACTTTTTTTGCCTGAAAAGGCTTAAAAAAGCAACTATTTTCAGGAAAAGGAGACTATTGGGAGACTTTTTTGTACTCCTAACGATGTTTTTTTTCTTTTTTTTTTCTTTTTTTTTTTTCTTTTTTCTTATTTTTCTTTTTAAAAACATAAATTGGGTGGAAAATCTAAACCCAACAAGATAGTTTCTGAATACACTGAACTTTTTTTCTTTTTCTTAAAAAATAAAAAATTTAGCAAATTTGAGTCCTCACTTTTTAAGTCGTTCAATCTGCACAGACTCCATTGTAAGTCTATTTCATTTCTCGATCGCCTTTTTAATGATTATTTCTATGAAATTCCACATGATTTCAAAAAAAAAACATTATACGATATTACGATGTGTGAATTTCAAATCTGAGTAATCACTTTTCATATATATATATATTATATAAACATTTACGTTTATATAAAAATGATTATATTTGCCACTAACTTGACTGAATGGATCATGGTATATGACGATTAAGTCATTAACAAAATTTTTGTCATATTTTTGATGAATTTTTGTTCTTATTTCGGCAACTATTTTCTTAGTTTTTGGCTACTATTTTCATGTTTTAGGCTACTAAAAGCAACTATTTTGTTCATTTTTTTTCTGTGGCAACCCTGTGCTGCAGAGTTTCTGCTATCAGGATACCTGATAATAATAAGTGTAGATTTCCTTGAAAGTAATATCACCCTAATTTCTGATTATAGTGTTGCTTATTCAGTTTATCTTGAACTGTTTCTTTTATTTTTAGAGTTTGAACAAAAGATTGAAAGAAATGCTAAGATAGTATTTGTACCACCCAGGAGTACTAAAGTAATATTACAAATGCCCAGGGGAAATCTAGAAACTATTCACCCTCGACCACTTGTATTGGTTGCTATATTTGAAGATCTTGATCGGTAGGTTAATTTTCTCAATTTTTTGGGTCTTAATATTATGTTCTTTGTTGCTATTAAAGCTGATAATATTTCTAAATAATTTTTTAATTAACTTTAAATAATCATTGCCTCCAATTGTTGTCTTAAAACATAAATTACTTGTTTTTAATATTAAAAGTGTTTACTTTATTTTAGATTTCAAAAAAAAATTCTCTGAAAAATGATATTTATTGTAAATTGAGTAGAATTTTTTTTAATCATAGTAATTTGATTATAATAATTAGTCCTGGATATTTATTTTGCAGTAAAATATTTAACTATTTTTTTCTGATATTGAGTTTTATTATATTTATCATTTTAAGAAAATGTTTACATGCGAAATGCTATATTACTGATGAATTTAATGTAACCACATCATAATTTTTAATGAGATCTTGTTTATTTTTTATCATTGGAAAATATTAGTTTAAAAATCGTGATTTCCAAATGATTTGCTTGTAGCAACATTAATACTTAAGGGATAAAATAAATTACGGTTAATTTAATTTTATTTGTTTTGTGTATTGATTATGTGATACCACAAACTACAATCAAACTCTTTCATTTTGTTTATTTTATTTTATGCATTTTTATTTTTAGATTGGAATATAAGAAAGCATTTGAAATAGCTAAGGTTCATCGAATTGACTTAAATGTTCTTTTTGATTACAATCCTAAGGTAAGTTGGTTAGTTTTATCTTTTTTTACTGCATCATTTTAAATATTTTTTATTTAAAAATCATACAATTGTTTATTCTTTATTATTACTTTGTTTTCAGTTATTTGTGGAGAACATCAAGTTATTTACTGAACAAGTGCAATCCAAAGACCTCAATTTATTCTTGGCAAGTTTGAAGTAGGTTTTTCATAATAAAAAATATCTTATTAATTATTATGTTACAAGTTTATCTTCCTTACCATCTCAATTTATTACTTTTATTTAATTTATTTATTTTTTTGCTTCTAAAAATATCTCATGATAGAAAATACAACACGATCGAATTGACAACGCTATACTTTTTTTTAAGGAAAAAAGAATTTAGTTAAATTTTTTAGAACTTTTTTTTAAAGGTTTTTTCTTTTCAAAAAAGTTTTAACTTTTAAAAGCAATAAATTTAAGTGTTTAGAAGTCTCAGACAGTTTATTTATTGTTGCTCAATAACCTGTTTTTAGATAATTTAAAGTTTTATTTTTGTTTAAATTGACAAAAACTAATTTGGAAGATGTTACACAATTCTTTTTAACTAATAAAAGTGTTTTTCTGAAATCTAAAAGCATGAACATATAATNAAAAAAAAATTTACGTGTGAAATGCTATATTACTGATGAATTAAATGTAACCACATCATAATTTTTAGTGAGATCTTGTTTATTTTTTATCATTGGAAAATATTAGTTTAAAAATCGTGATTTCCAAATGATTTGCTTGTGAGGCAACATTAATACTTAAGGAATAAAATAAATTACAGTTAATTTAATTTTATTTGTTTTGCGTATTGATTATGTGATACCACAAACGACAATCAAATTCTTTCATTTTGTTTATTTTATTTTATACATTTTTATTTTTAGATTGGAATATAAGAAAGCATTTGAAATAGCTAAAGTTCATCGAATTGACTTAAATTTTCTTTTTGATTACAATCCTAAGGTAAGTTGGTTAGTTTTTTTTTTTTACTGCATCATTTTAAATATTTTTTATTTAAAATCATAAAATTGTTTATTCTTTATAATTACTTTGTTTTCAGTTATTTGTGGAGAACATCAAGTTATTTACTGAACAAGTGCAATCCAAAGACCTCAATTTATTCTTGGCAAGTTTGAAGTAGGTTTTTCATAATAAAAAAATTCTCATTATTTATTATGTTACAAGTTTATCTTCCTTACCATCTCAATTTATTGCTTTTATTTTATTTACTTATTTATTTTTTGCTTCTAAAAATATCTCATAATAGAAAATACAACACGATCGAATTGACAACATGATACTTTTTTTTTTGAGGAAAAAAGAATTTAGTTAAACTTTTTAGAACTTATTTGTAAAGCTTTTTCATTTCAAAAAAGTGTTAACTCTTAAAAGCAATAAATTTAAGTGTTTAGAAGTCTTAGACAGTTTATTTATTGTTGCTCAATAACCTGTTTTTAGATAATTTAAAGTTTTATTTTTGTTTAAATTGACAAAAACTAATTTGGAAGATGTTACACAATTCTTTTTAACTAATAAAAGTGTTTTTCTGAAATCTAAAAGCATGAACATATAATACTAAATTACTTTTCTGAAAATACTGCATTGCATGCTATAATTTTCTAAAATATTTATATAAAAAACTTGAAATCTTAGGATAATGTGTATGCCTATCCCATTATGTTTAAGGCAATGCCGTTAAAATATCTATAATTAGTTTATTTTTGAAAGTTAAAGGAAAATAATAGAAAGCACTTTTAACATTTTCTTAATTAATTGACAGTTAAATTCATTTGCAAAAAAAGAGGCTTTTTTTTTAAGGAAAAAATTTCTTCTATTTATCTTAATCATTGCATAAGACTTAAATATTTTTCCATTTTCTAGGATTGGTAATATATTGAAAGAGACATATCATTTGCAGCTAGACTTTTCCGGTCTCAGTAATCTTCAAGAGTTGAACTTCTTTAATAATAAAGTGAACATGCTGTGTGATAAAATTCGTGAAGTCCTTGATCCTGAATTGAAGGAGTAAACTCTTTTTTTTTTTATGTATAATTATTTTTAAATTAAAGAGCCTTATGAAAGAAGGTCAATTTAAGAAAAGCAAGAAACAACAGTAGGCTGTTTCCAAAAGAAAAAAAAAGCATTTTTTTTATCCAAACTGTTTTAAATGATGTCTAATAGAAAAATCTAAGTTCTATACATTTCCCAGATAGCAAAATAAGGTTTATTTTAACTCAGCAAAAACCTTTTCATGTATAACCTAAGAAGGTTTGTTATGCTGTTTGCGTGTAAACCTTCTAACCTTAAAACGAGATCTGTGACAATCTGCTCTCTTCTACCCGCATTACCCTAATCCAAAACCTTGGAAAACAACCTTCTATATAAAAGCCTTAAATCATGGTTGTCTTAGGGTTTTCAAGCATGAAAAAATCTTTTCATAAAGCTAGTCTCAAGGTGAAAATATAGGGTTGGGTTTTTGCCGTCAAAAACTGGTTTTTGAAATGACAGTGGTAAAAACCGTGTTTTTACCGGTAAAAACTGTCAAAAACCTACTGTTTTCTTTCATTTATGGCATATAGCGGATAATATATTATTTTCACATAATTGCCTTTATAAATGAATGTTGTAAATGATTGCTATTGATTTTGCAACTATATACATGTATTCTTATAGAAGGATATGCATTCATACAGAAATATTGTAATATACTTATTGAAAATAGTGATACTTACTTTTATCATAATAACTTGATTCGCAAAGGATTCAAAATTTTGCACTTCTTAATTGTTAGAAATAAACAAACAAACAAAAAAGCTTGGAACTATTAATAAATTCAAGAACTAAAAAGAATTTAAAATTTGGCATTTCTTAAATATTAGAAATAAGCTAAACAAAACTTTCAACACTTGTAACTACTAACAAACTCTAAGTCAAGAATTACTGCTATTTTGTCAAGTTAAAAGCTTTTATTTAGTTGAAAAAGCACATTAAACAAAGCTTAATTACAAACAAAATTACATGTTCAGTAGTCGGGGTCACTGTGCTGAAGCATACGATAGCAAGTGACTAATTTTGCGCATTTTTCATTGCCCAGTCGATTTCTAAGTTTAGTATGGATGAGTCCAAAATTCGAGAAGATTCAAAATTATTTTACCAAATACTTATAAATTATTTCATCAAATACTCAAAATTATTTTACCAAAATTATGGGTTTTTGACATGACGGTAAAAACCGTCATGTGTCAAAAACTTGCCAACCCTGGGTGAAAATAATCATAAATCTAGGTAATTATAAGGTTTCTTTTCGCAAAATCTTGTATGCTCAGCTAATATCCACCTTGTCATGAAATTTTAATGGACAATGCAGTTTGACGCTAGTGTGACGTCAGCTAAAACGTCATTATGGACCTAAGTGACAATTTTTTTTAAATAAGCTTTAAAAAATAATTTTTAATCCTTTTAGGATGAAAGGTTAGAAACTGCAATATTTTTGCCTTATTGAAGAGAGGTTTTTCGTGCAAACATTTTCGTGACAATGAAAAGAAAATTCCGAGACAAGGTTGCCGTAAGGTTACACGTTTTCTGGGTCAGTGGACCTTAACATGTTTTTTTATTTCGAAAGTTTGTGCTTTTTTTAAATTGTAACTTGCTGTCTTCCTTCATTTAGCTTGTCAATTGTAAGCAGTAGCACTAAAAAATTAATTTATGCTTTATTTCTAATTATATAATGACGACTGTTATAAATACATGAAGTCAATTATGTGATTGCTGGTTCTTAATCTTTCAATCTTGTTCTGAACTTTTATTTGTTGCCAACTAGCATGTCAATTCCAGGTGTCAAACCTAGTGACAGCGGCACATAATTTAATTGATTTTGGCGTTTTGTATTAATAACAGTATAATAAAAAATGTATAAAAAGTATAATAAAATTTTGTATAATAAAAAATGTTATTTCACATAAACAAGTTGAAGAAAAAGGCAATACAATTTTAACAATAGCTTGTGTAGTTTAAAGCACATGCTGTAACAAAATATTGTATTTATATCTAGTCTGATATAAACATTGAAGCTACTACTAAAGGAAAAAAATCTGATTAAAGTGCATTCTTTTTTATCCTCTTTCTATAAGTTGAGAAAAGAAATCTTTAAATAAATAACAAATTTAAGGTAATAGTGTTTGCGGACCTGTAAATAGAGCTATATATATATATAGCGGCCTGGCAATGGTCCTCGAACTCGCAGTTGAATAACAATGTATTAGAATATAATATGAAGCAGATTTGCTATATAATGTCTTAAAAGATTAAAAAGAAACATATAGTTAATTTGCAGGCACTTTTTAAATTAGCCTTAATAAGTCAAAATTGTGAATTTTTAGCTCTTCTTTATTTGTTTGATCAATTCCTGTTCTTTATTTATTTTAATTATATTTGTTTTCATTAGCAAAATTTTCTGTAGCATATTTTTGTGACAAACTTCAAAAATGAGTTTTATTTGGGTTATTCTTTCTTTCGATCATGGATCAGTTTTGTGCAAGAGCAGAATTTTTAAAAATTGTTTTCATTTATATTGCAGGCATTTGCTTCCTTATTTGGCCACTTATGCTTTGATGAAGCCTTCTGGTCTTGATAAAGCATTGCTAAAAATAAAAAGCATTAAAGGTAAATATCTATTTTTCTTTCTTTTTTTTTAAAGAGATATATTAAGCACAAATGGTATTTAATTATATCATTTGCGTTTTTATCTTAATTTTTTTGTCTTCATTTTTAAACAAAAAAAATTATTATTTCTTGACGTTCAAATTTTGAAATAAATATTAAAAAAGTGAATTTTAGATTGAAAATAATTTTGTAATGTAATAAGTTATTTTCTGCTTTTGTATTGTTTTTTTTTTTTTTTTTTTTTTTTTTTTTTTTTTTTTTTTTACTACTTTCTCTAAGGAAATTATTTTTAATTAAATTCTATGGAATTTCTAATTTTTATTTTTAATTCTAAGGAAATTATTTATCTTTGTTTCAAAAACAAAGGTTATTAAAAAGAGTAAATTCTTACATTCATTAATTTAATTTATTTGAAAAGATAAGTAAAGTAATAGTCTAGAAATACATTTTTCATTTAAAATTATTGTAAAACTAAAAGTTTAGCTATGAGAAAAAAATTAACTTTCAAAATTTTGATAATGAAATGCTAAAATCAAATTTGTTATCTATCTATTATACTGGGATTTTTAATTTGCAGTCACATAAACAAGTGACTAAATACTCTAAACCAATTATACTAGTTTTTAGCCATTTTTTAATAAATAATTATGTAAACAGCTAATTGATTGTTTAAACTTTCAAGTTTGTTTATTTTTGAAATTAAAGTTTCATTATTTTTTTTTTTTAATTTATAAATAAGACTGGAACCAGATCAATGTCCAGAACTCCATGGAACTTCACAATGATATCAAGATTTTAAAAAAAAAAATTTAAATTTTGCTCTCCATTTTAAGAAATACATAACCTGTTCCATGAAATTATATTGCAAGCTATATTGTTTTTATTCTTTCTTTGTGATATAAGTAAACCAACTTTTACTTTTAGATTCTGGTAGTTTGAAAAATACACAAGATACTATAAATCATGCCTTGGATTTCTTGCTTTATTTAGTAAATGTTAATGAATTGATTGATGTGGCATTTGGTACTTATGACTTACCTACAACTATTATGGTTGCACAAAAATCTCAGAAGGTGAGCGTTATTATAAATAGTTATTTTAATATATGTATGTTTACTTTCCTGATGTTTTACTTAAAATTGGAATTTCAAGCATTTTAGACATGTTGAAACTTATTTTAGCTTTCTTTCATTCTTATTTATTTATTTATTTTTTCCTTTTTAAAGCTTCAATGGTTAATAGAGTTAAATCATTCAGGGATGAGATTTTTCCGCTTTTTAGCGGACTTCCGCTTTTTTCACTTTTATCTCTTGAATTTCAGTTTTTTTAAATCGAAAATTCATATTTTCTAAAAATTTCACTTTTTTTTAATAAATATTCCGTTTTTTCAGAAAATTCACCGATTTTCAAAGAGAAACAGAAAATTCAAACTACATTGCTACCAATCCTTTACCATTTTTACTTATTTTAGCTATTTTCTCCCTCTTTACACGCAGCAGATAAGATTTTTCGAATTTTTTACCGACCCTCCAGATAGATCCGATTTTTGTAGTTCAAACGACGCTGCTTCTGACAAGCCTTTTAGAGGTCCCAAGCCTGTAATTTGCTAATATCTCGATTCTTATTCACATGATTTTAATATCAAACATAGCTTTTCATATTTGCGTGCTGCGATTCTTATTCACGCGATTTGAATATTGTACATTGCGATTCTTATTTACGAGATTTAAGAATCCGATATTGTGATTTGTATTTACTCCTTTTTAAAAACCTATGTAGCGATTCGTATTCACGCAAGTTTAAAATTCAATGTCTTGATTTGCTCATGCGGTTTATAATATCAAACATAGTTTTTTGTATTTATACGAGATTTTAAAATAAGGCATTGGGATTCCCATTCACGCATTCTAAAAATTATGCATCATAATTCTTATTTATACAATCTAAAAATTACGCATCATGATTCGTATTTACGTGATCTAAAAATTATGAATCGTGATTTGTATTTACGCGTTTTAAAAATTCTAAATACCAGTTTCTATTTTCTCATTTTCGAAATCGTTTATCTAGTTTCATATTCATGTGATTTCAAAATCCATAATTGTTATTCATATTCACGCAATTTTAAGATCAACTATCTTCTATCGATTCTTGTAAGAAATAGATATTTTTTTTAATTAGTTACTATAAAGGTGACTGTTTTTCTAACGACGATTATTAGTATATGTAAGTGATACAACATCAGAGAAACTGGAAGGGAATATGTATAAAACTTACATTCTGTGCTTGTAAAGAAGAAAAAATAGGATTTGTCACAAGATGTTTGAAGAGGGACTAACGACTAAATATAGCAAACATAAAAGATATAGCAAATAAAAGCAATCACTTAAAAAGGGATTTAATTTAATTATATATATATTTTTTTAGAAAAAGAGTTAATTAACTTTTCATCAAAATTTTATTTATAATTGCTGTTATTTATGCTATAAAATGCAAAATTCTTATCAAATAAAAAACAATTATCTAAACAGTTGCTGATTGTCATGTAATTTTTCAAACTAAAATAGCAATTTTTGTATATTAAGGAGTTACTATATATCTCTACTTCACTGTTATTGATATGTTTTAGAGGGCTCTAGTTAGATTAGACTATAATATGAACATAATGATTCGGTCCATTGTTAAAGTTTTTTTTCCAATATAATTTAAAAAGTAATATTACTGATATATTTGCTATAAATCACATAACAGTATTTATTAAAAGAAATGAAATATTAATGTATATTCTCAGTAGTTTTAATTTGCTAAACCAGGTAGTTTTTCAAGTAATAATTGTCTCTTATGTGAACTGAGGAAAAATATGATTTCCAGCTTTATTTTTTCAATTTGTGATTTTTATTTTCACTAAATGTTAAGTATCAATGTAATCAGTTATATAATAATAGATTAGTACACAATTGTATGTCAACACATTATTTATTACCTTAAACTGTCTGGAATTTATTATTAAAGGGTTGCGCTTGCGTAAAATTTACTATCGTGGAAATTCGGCTTTTTTGCTTTTTAGCTAATCTCATCCCTGATCATTACAATTGCGCATGGAAGTTAAGCATACTTTAACTATAGGACATATGTGAACGAAGGTCATATGCTTAACTTTTAACCACCAGTATATGTTATTACATCTATGTCTATTTTAAATTTATTATTCTAAATTAATATTATAATTTTGAAGTAAACTTTAAAGATTAAAGAAATGTTAATTCTTTAAGTTATTATAAAAAATAAAAATAAATAAATTTCAGCTTAATATTTGATTATATTATTCCTTTTTCATCTGAGCTATAAAAAAAGGAAAATTCTTCTTTTAAATTTTTTTTTTATTCTTTCTAAAAAAAAAAATTTTTTTTTTCTTCTGAGAGGATAGAAAAATGTTTTCTCTTAAACTTCGAAATTTAGACCTGTGAAATCATTATGTTATGCTTTTTCTCATTTGTTCTTTCTTAAAGAACAAAAAATATGTATATATTGCCGTTTTACAACAATCTTTGAAATTTAAAAATGTGTTGTTTTTTCTGATGACACTTGCCAATACCAGCAATCCTGCGAGAAAGAGAATGCCAGTGGCACCATCTATGGCTAAAAATATGACTTTGGCCATATACACGTCACAGTCCATTTATAGAGCTGACCAATTCATACATCCATTCATTCACAGATTGCAATTTAGAGCTAAACCAGAGAACGTTCAATCTCCAATTTAGTACCCCCAGAGATCTTATTTGTTTTGAAAATATGGTGGATTTTGTGACCCGGCAGATTTAAAATGCACCAATCACCACTTACTACACGGCAAGTCTTTGGCTGGCTAGGATCGAACTCGCAACCTCTTGGTCATGTGCCCAATGCCCAACCAGACTATCTTCGCCTTATTCAAATATGTTTAATCATTTAATAAGTAAATAATCCGAAATGTGTTTCAACTTAATATATTATTAAGTTATTCTTTTTTTTATCTATTCACTTTAGGATCCAAAGGAATTTTTGCCCTTTTACAATGAACTTCAAAACTTAGAAGAAAATTACCGCAAATACAAAATTGATATGCATCTTAATAGGTTTAAAAAAGCTTTGGAGCACATCAGTAAATGTGGTGAGTTGATTTTGTATGTTACAAAATTTCTTTAATATGTTAAATAAATTGATTTTCATTTGCTCATTCAAAAGTTTGCTTCACTAATTTAAGTGTTTGACATTTTAAGTTAAAAATCATCATTATTTTATTATTTGTATTTTCTCATTTACAAATAATGTAGCTATAATTGATTTAAGTGCTAGCTTTGATGAAGACTTATGTAATTAAATTTTATAATTTAAGTTAGATATCTATATTTTTTGTTTTATTTTTATGTACTCCTTCAGAATTATAAATAATTATCTGAACCATTAATTTAGCTGATTATTTTTATGACTGCTTATACAATTTCTTGTAAGTTTTAAAAAAAATATTGTTTTCTTATTTAAAGCTACTCCATGTGTAATTATTAACTAATAATTTTAATGAAGCTTCACATATAAATTTTTTTTATTGAAAATAATTGATATTTTGTTCTTTTTGTGTACTTATTCAGAATTATTTTTTTTAGCTGATCATTTTGAGGAATGTTTGACACTGATAAAAGAGAAGAAATTGTATGTTGATGCTCTTTATCTATATCCTCCATCTTCTCAGGAAAATAAAGTAAATTGTCTCCAATGTTCAAAGTTTTTAGCTATGTTTTTGATAAATATAATATTTTTATCTGTTATAAATTTTTCATAAAATTCTCATGATTTTCAGTTCATAATGTTGTCTACTGATCTGACCTAGTCTTAACCACTAATGCCTTTCTATCTCAAATTCCATTGAATTTAAAAGCTCTTGTTTGTTTCAAACTGAAAATACTTAAAACAAAAAGTATTGAAATAATTATTCCTATATGTTAAACTCTAACTGATAAAAATATCTTTTTTTTTTCTTTTTTTTTAAAAACTTGAAGCTTGTTTTGTTTTTATTGGTTGGCAATACTGAAAAACAAATTATATTTATTTATATATTTCTTATTTGAGTCATTTTCTATTTGCATGCATTTTCTATTATAATATATTTTAGCTTTTGTTTGTTATCGATTGTTAATAACCCTACATGTCGTTACTGACCAGCAAGAAAAAAAGAAGTTTTTTTTTTTCTTTTTCACACGTGATTACTATGCACAATTTGAATTCAGTGGTTAGAAGCGTAGAAAAGTGCATTTTTTGCAATTAACTAAAGCTACTTTTCAAAAAATGTAAAAATGGGCTTGGAATAATAAATAAACCTTTTTATTTCTTTCAAATTTATTCTTTCAGCCTCCAACTTATCCATTTCTTGAAAGAATATTTATTTCAAGAAATACTCTGAAATTTTCGAAGATATTGTTAAATGCTTAACCTTTACGTTAATTTGTAAAAAAAAAAATTACACCTAGGACATCCTTAATATGGACTAACTGATACGCTCTCTCTGATGGACTCACTTAAGATTTATGCCAATCAGATTCAAATAACTAGTTTCATTTGAATTCTGTTCCTTTACCAAAATAACAATAAGTAAAGGCACGGCATTGTTACAAACCAGCGTGTTTATTATTATTTTTTTGTATTGTGCTACTCACTACTAAATTTTTTCAAAATTGCGTTACAAACTACGAAAAAAGTAATGACAACAATTTCATTACTTGAGCCGCAACGGCTCAGGGGATAGAGCGTTCGCGTTCCAATGAGGTGAACCAGGTTCGAATCCCAGTTGATACAAATTACGCATCCGCCTTGCACCGACCACAGTGCTGACGTGAAATATCCTCAGTGGTAGAAGGATCATGGGTTAGAGTCCCCTTGCTGTCAGGCTAACCGTGGGAGGTTCTCGTGGTCTTCCTCTCCATGTACCGCAAATGTGGGTTAGCTCCATCAAAAAGTCCTCCACGAACACAAAAATTTCTCCCAATACTCGATCCAGGAGTTCCCTTGTCTTCTGAATTGGGTTCAAAATCACAAGGCTATAGAGTTGAACATTAGTACTCATAAACCCATAAAATTGGGTCAGCTGTTCAGCGACAGTTATAAAATAAAATTTCATTACTTACAGCTCATTAGCTCTGAATACTGCACATCACAGTTTATATTTTGACTCTTTAATACTCGTGCATACTTCATTACTTTTTTAATGACATAGTTCTTCTCTTCTAGACAATATGGACTGAGTATGGCATGTACCTAGAAAGCAAAGGTTATCATGATGAGGCTGGTTTAGTGTTCAGTAGAGTTGAAGCTGATGAATTTGCTTTTAAAGCCTATAGAGAAAGTGCAAACTGGAAAGAAGCCTTAAATCTTGCTTATAAACTTAAATACAATGATCAGAAAGTTCTGGGAACTTGTCAGTACATAGTAGGTAGGTTGATCAACATCTTGTGATTGCAGAATTAATTTTTGTTTAGTGATTTTTTTTTAAATTTCTTCCATTTATAATTGTTTCAAATTACTTAACTTAATAAATAATTACTTAGTAGAAAATTACTTCTTGTTTGTACATTTTATATCTTTTCAGATTGTATAAAAAAAAATGATTTCTTTTTTAGAGAGACTGAAAGACAAAAGAAAATATTTAGAAGCGGGTTACTTACTTGAACATTTTGTTAAGGTAAGTAGTTTAATATATCTTTGGTCACCTTTGTATTTTGGACATGGCTCAAAATGCTTGTTTTCCTTTTATTTTTTAATAAGAGATTAATTAGAGCTTTTATTTTTTAATAAGAGCTAATAATTCTTGATATGCTATCGAATGTTAATTTTTTATTGTCTTATATTCCCTGAAAATTTTTCTACATAATTTAAAAATTTTGTAATTTATGCACTGCGAAATGAAATGAACTGTAAGGTAAAAACCCCAAAAATATTTTAGGGTATATATAATTTTTGTAAAAAGTAATTTGGTTAAATGAAATTTGTGAAAAAGGTCATTAAGTTTTTTTTTTTTTTACTACAAAATTTACCAAAAATTCCTTAAAACTTTTAATATATTCAAATCAGACTTTCTTCATAAATTACGAAACATTACACAACAAAATTATGAGCAAATTTTTTAAAATATCTTTTGCACAATTGAAGGTACTACTTTATATGCTCATATCTTGCATAATTTGTAAAAAAAAATTTTTGCAAATTTAATTTTGTTATTAATTAAAAATTGCTCCATTTTTTTAAAATTTTATTTTAAAGTTATAGCAAAAAAACAGAAGACAAAGAAATTAGTTTTTTTTTTTTTTTAATATTTCCATACCTTCATAAATATTTAAGATAAGGTTGTAAAATTTTATCCAAATATTACATATAAAAACCAAAATAGTTGATACAAGTTTATTGCTATAGTTTCTGACATAGTCTTCAAAAACGCTTTTTTTGTTCGTAATTTATTGCCTATCTCTGAAACCTCTGAATAATTTGAATTTTATTGATAAGTATTGAGAATTGCTTGATCTAAACGCCTCTAAAGTTTTGAAATAACTATCTTATTATTTCTGGAGAAATTTTAAAAAATGTCAAAAACTGAAAGTGTTATTTCAATGTTAATGTAGGGTAGTATGAAGAGTGAATAAAGAAAAAAAAGAATCAATAAATCAGTGCTAAACATTACGAAATTATGCTCAAAACTGAAAGGTACTGGCACAATTAATAAAGCTAAATAATTTCAATTGTGTTTTTATTCGTTATTATTTGTTGCCCACCCTAGTTGAATAAAACAAAACATGATTTTTTATAGCATGGTAGTATTGCTTGCAACTAACTCATGATACAGTACAGAATTCGTTATCCGGAAATCAGAAAACCGGAAAACCAAAAAACCGGAATGAAATTCGATAAATTTTCCCGCAATTTTTAAAATTTTTTTTTTCCTCATAAGATTTTAGGATTTTTCTTTCTTTTTTGAAAGATGTTTACCTTACCATCATTTTGGAAATAATCATTAGTATATTACTTCATCGTTTTTTCTTCTTTTTAAGATTGTTTCCAAATATTTTTTTTAGTTGGGTATAACAATAAAAAAAACTACTTTTTGTAGCGATTCAGAAAACCGGAAAAATCAGTTATCCGGAATAGCAATGGTCCCGATCGTTCCGGATAATCGGTTCCCTACTGTAGTAAAAATTAACCTCTATCAAGTAATTTTCTCTGGTAAATATCCCTTGATATCCTTTGATAGCCCTTAAATACTCTTATATCCACAGTATCAGTATTAAAAATGCTTAGAATTGGTGCAGATTTAATATTTACCTAATACATTGATATAATATTTTATATGTTATGTTTGGTGCCTATTACATAACCCTTCAACATTTGAGTTTTGTGCAAAATTTATCATTGGTAGCACTAAAACCAAAATTTTAAAGACAAATAGAATTCTTATAAAACTTTGATAAGGACTTTAGAGTATGACCCTTTCTCTATTTGACCTTTACTTTTTAAAATATTTATAAGTGGTAGTGGTAAAAAGTTCTTTTAATTCTTTAAAATATTAATGCACTATCTTTGCTACCATAAGAAGAAATATTTTCTGAGCCCGCAGAAAATCTGTTTAAAGAATTGTTATTACTTTGTTATTTTTCTGCTCCTTTGTGATGCAGTGAGCTGTCAAATTTTCTGGATTGAATTCCTAATAAAGCCATATGAAACACACACACAGAATTGTTATTACAATGGCATTAATCACCATAATACCAGTAGTATGTGTTACCAAAATTAATTAAATGTCATCTTCGTATTACTATTTTCTGTGGTTCATATAAACAAATACGTGGCTTTTTTACATTACCTAAATTACTTAAGTATCATTGAGGTCAAGAATAGTATAGCGAATTTTTATATAACTCCTAAATAAATTATTATCACATTTTTATTAATTTTAACTTATTTACTTTTTTAGAAACGCGTTTTTAAAAAATTTATATGAACAAAATAAAAATGTGGTTTCAGATAATTATTAGAATACTAATTTAGTGACAATGTCCTCCTATGCTACTGCATTAACTGCAAATGCTCATTGAATTTGTCTGACATGGTAAATAAAAAGGAATTAAATGTCAAAGTACGTGCAATAAACTTTTTTTTTTTGATTGAATAGAGCTGATGCTATCTTTAAAATATTTGAAAAAAATAGAATTGTCAATAATTGATTTTAAAACAATAGCTAATGCTTAACCAATCAGAAAATTCCAGCTCATTATTCCCTCTTGAACAGTTTGTAGTACACTGCTCTCATGTCGACCGTGGCCTTCCCTGTGCTTCTAACAACCAATATGCCAAATTTCATTTATCTTGTTTGGATGGTTCAGGAGTCTATAAATAGCAAACAAACAGACATTCATTTTTATATTTATGTATGAGTAAATTTTTACAGAGGCATTTAAATTTTTAAATAAGTGAAATTTAAAATGTAAACCCTATTTAAAACATCATTAAAGAGAATATTTTTTGATATTTAAAGGTTTTACTTAAGAAAGTCTCTCTATATTTTTTTTCCTTTTTTTTAAACTTTTTTTTTAATATTTCATGTTGATTTAGTATGAATCTTGATAAGCACTTGCTTTTTACTTTTAGGATATTGAAGAAGCTGTGGTTACCTTGATTGAAGGATATGAATGGAGTAGTGCCTTGCTATTGGTAATATTTTGTTTATTGACTTTATGATTCAAATTTTATTTTTATGTAGTGTTTTCTGAACATTTACTGTTCTTGTGAAAGTAGACTTTTTTTGCATAGTTGTTTTTTCAATATTCATTACTATTTTATTATGATTGAAATATTAAATAAGTAAAACTCTTTTTAATGCATTGTGTTTTTATTTTTTAAAAAAATATCCGGAACTAGAGATATCTTTACAAGGTTGCCCCTCCACAGGGAGAAGAGGAAAAATCTGGAAGATACGAGGAATTTAAAAATCACCTCAAATAACAGGGAAAATGCTGAGGGAAATTTTTGGTTTTTCTTTACAAACCTCAGAAAATACAGGGAATTTTGTTTCTTACAGGGATGAGATTTTTCCGCTTTTTAGCGTATTTCCGCTTTTTTCACTTTTATCTCTTGAATTTCAGCTTTTTTATCAAAAATTCAGATTTTATAAAAATTTCACTTTTTTTTATAGATATTCTGCTCTTTCAGAAAATTCACTGATTTTCAAAGAGAAACAGGAAATTCAAACTACATTGCTACCAATCCTTTCTCATTTTTACTTATTTTAGCTATTTTCTCCCCTTTTACACGCAGCAGATAAGATTTTCCGAATTTTTTACCCGCCCTCCAGATAAATCCGATTTTCGTAGTTCAAACAACGCTGCTTCTGACAAACCTTTTAGAGGTCCCAAGCCTGGAATCTGCTAATATCTCGATTCTTATTAATACGATTTTAATATCAAACATAGCTTTTCATATTTGCGTGTTGCGATTCTTATTCACACGATTTGAATATTGTACGTTGCGATTCTTATTTACGAGATTTAAAAATCCGATATTGTGATTCGTATTTACGCCTTTTTAAAAACCTATGTAGCGGTTGGTATTCACTCAAGTTTAAAATTCAATGTCTTGATTTGCTCATGCGGTTTATAATTTATAATATCAACCATTGATTTTCGTATTTATACGTGATTTTAAAATAAGGCATTAGGATTTGCATTCGCGCATTCTAAAAATCATGCATCATAATTCTTATTTATGAAATCTAAAANTTAAGTTTAAATAAGGAAAGAAATTATGAAATAAAAATTATATACAGGCTTATATATGTTATTAATGTTACTATTAACATTAATAACATATATAAGCTATTTGTGCTTATATGAGATTCGTCTACAAACGACTTTTGATCCGTCCTCTAAATCAGTTCTTTCATCAACTCGATACACCGTACGCTCTAAATGACAAAATCTTGCAGGAAAAAAGAATTTTTTTAGTGGAAAAAAATTAATTTCCGGTTCCGAATTTCATTCCGGTCATCTGGTTTTTCCGGTTTTCTGATTTCCGGAGGTTCTGCACTGTATATGTCATAAAATGCAGCAAAAAAAATAGATTTTTTTCATTGATTTGGCTCTATATGTTAATTACTTATGTTTTATTTCAGATGTCAAAGTATAACAGATATGATATTGCTGAAACTCATCTACATCCATCTCTTATCATGCTTCATAAAACCCTAATACCAGAATTAGATTTGTTAATAAAGGATTTCAACACACATCTTTCCCGACTGAAATATTTGCGAAGTCCAGAAAAAAAGAAGCTAGATGAAGAGGGTAAGATAGTATGAAATTTAAGGCATTGTGCATGCAGTTAAATTGCTTTATGATAGGTTTTTAAATGTTCAAAAACTAGTCTGCCTTTTTATATTTCTAAAGATAAACATTTTTTCATTTTCTTGGGAAATAGCCAAACAAAATTTAGTACATTTCAGTTATTTTCTGTATAATATTCTTAGCTATATTCTTAATATATTTGAAACTTGATTTAGATGTAAAGTTTTCATGGGATATAATTCTCAATTTTATAAATTTAACTAAAATTAAAAATTTTTATTTGTTTTACGAAAATTTATCTTTACAGCTGTTTTTGTTCCTTAGTGATATCAAATAATTTATTTTTTATGTTACAGTTGCTCTTTCTTCAAAGTATAATGATGATGATCTGTTTTCTGAGGTTACTAGTGTTTCAGATATTGCATCTTCTCAATCAGAATCTGCTCGTTTGTCTGGGTATTTTTTTTAATTGTTATTTAAATTTTTATTCATAAATGGCTGATTTTTTTTAATGACACTGTTTAATTTAATGCATGTTAAATTTCTTCATACTTTGCTATAGTTTAAAAAATGGGAAAGCTTCAATTCTCAATTCAATCTCTCAGGAACTATTCAACCCATTTTGCTCAAATTTTGTATTATCCCATATAACGTTATATTCTTTAAAACAATGCAAAAAGTATGCAAAACAAAAAGTATACAAAGTCTACTCAAAAATAATTTCAGCCATTTTAAATAAAATTATAAAAAATAATAAATATTTACGAAAAGTTATTTTTTGCATGAAATTCGATAAACAAATTTTATAATTGTGTACAAAAAGTTTTCAATTTGCTTAAAAACTTCTCAAGATGTAGCAAGTACCCAAAAATTAACTTTAAGAAGTAACTTTAGAGAGCTATCCTGTCCAAACTAATTATGACCATATATTTTTGGGGTCAGAAATCTGAATCCTTCAAAAAAAGGTTTGTTTATTCAGAGAAAGTACATTTTTGTGTCTGATTTCATAATTCAAGATATAGCCTGCACTTATTTATTAGCATATTTAAGGTCGCCCGCTCAAGCCATTAAAATTTAGTCCTAGATCGTTAAAATCATTAGGTCAAATGTTATTCAGAGTAGTCTTTTTTTTTTTTGCACACTGTACCTATGCAATTATTGTTATTATGTGTATAAGCATAATTTGCTAATTATATATTTTATAGCTCTATAATGACTCGTAAAAGTTCCAAAAGCAGAAGAAAACAACAGCTGAAGAAATATCGCTTGAAAGAAGGTAGTCCTGATGAAGATTTAGCTCTGATTGTTGCTCTTTCTGAAATAGTACGAAAAGTAGATGGTCTCAAAGGTAATGAGTTTTTCATCTTAATTATTCTTACAATCAATAGTTAACTAAAAAATGAATTCAGAGATTTATTTAGAGTTAATCTGATATTTTGTATTTACTATACTATTGAATTTTTCTCAAACATGCTGTAATTTAAGTATTGTATTCAAATAAATCTAATTGAATGCAATGCTTAAATTTTAAATTCAATGAATGAAAAAAATTGAAAAATAATCTAATATTTGAACTGATAATAAGTGCTTTATTTCTCAAAACTTAGCTTAAATAAATATTTTGTTACAAATTAAACTATTTTCCTATTTTAAATCAAATTAAAAAGGAATTTTTTAAAAGTAAATTCTTTTGTTCATTTATTAACATACATATGTTTTAGAAAATAGGAACATACAATAGGCATAGGTGTTTTAAATTTATATATTATGCATGCATTTTGTTAATAATATTTAATTGGTATTTCTTAAATATGAAGTTTGTAACTTCAGTTGTATTTTTATGATATTTAGTTTTTCTAAATTATTGTTTAATATTTATTTTGTCGACTATTTATAACTTAATCTACCTATAGTTAAATAATTTGTCGATATTTAGTTTTTAAAAAAATCTGTTATTTACAAAAAAAAAAAAAAAAACTTTTTTGAAAAATATTTCTAAAATACATACATTTTAATTTTTTTGCTTGCTTGTATTTAAACATTAATTATGCATTATAAAGTTTGTTAAATCGTTCTTGGCTTCTGAAATTATCATAGTATTTATGAAATATATATGCTTTTTTAAATATTTTATCTTTATGTTTAGTATTAGTCTATGTACAGTGTGTAAAAAGAAACTGATCATTCCAAACAACTTTTGATTTAATGATCAGATTTTCTCGTACTAAGAATGGTTGAAGGAGGGTGACTTGCCTCAAGTATGGTAATTAATTAGTATTGACGATTTTTCTAAGTTACAAAATCAGATAGAAAAAAAAAATTTTTGTTGTTGACAGATTTGAATTTTTGACCTACAAAATATGAGAGCTAAATTCAATCTGAGAAATATGGTCTCAAAAGTTAAAACTCTTTTTACACATTTAGCCCTTTCTCGAAAACTTTTTAGGAATTGTTCCTGAAAAATCAAATGTTGAAAAATTTATAGTTTTTTATAGCTGCATATTCTTTTTCAGATAATTTTTTGAATAATGTGCGAGTGTTGGTGCAACATGGTTTGGATTCTCCTGCAAAAGAAATACAATCTAAGATGCAATTATTAGTTTCTTCAATAGATGCTGAAATGTCATATATTTGGCCTATTAATCAAACAACCGAAACTCCTCCTACGCAATGGGTATTAATATGGTTTTTATTTATATTTACTAAATAGTTTCTTTTAAGTTCATTTTATAATTTGTTTTATATCGATCAGCAGCTCAAAGAATTTTGATTGTATATGTTGCTTGATTTTTTACCGTTTAAGACCTGTGTTATTATAAATAGTTTTATATTTATCGATAATTTAAAGAATTGATCTTATATGATGCTTGATTTTTTTTTTAGAGCTATGGACCAGATTCTACTGTCAACTCTATTACTGCTTCTAGAAATGTGGAGGAGAAAAATATTACTACAACACAAATTGGTATGCTTTGTTTTTGTTATGAAATATACTTCCAAATGTTGATATGTTTTAAATTAAACCTTGTGTATATATAATTGTGAGTATTACATTTTCTAGTATATTTCTTTATATGTATATATTTGATGAAAAAGTTTATTGCTGTTGGAATTACTTTTTGTTGAAGAAAATGCGTGATTTACCATTAGTTGACGATGCTGTTGATTGATGTATTTCGAATTGTTCATAATTTTATCCCAGAAGGATGCAGCCTAGTTATTACACGTTAAACCTCATAAACTGCTTGATGAAGAATCAAATATTAATAATAAAATTTGAAAAATTTAAATATATGGGGCTCCAAAGTAAAGATTCATCTTTTTATTTTTAATATAAATATACATTATCAAATAATAAATTTGGAATAACGGCCCAGAGGTTGTGGGTTTTTGGGTAAGCCCCACTGGACATCTCTGTCCACCTGGAAATCAAAAATGTGAGTATCATGTGTATACTAAAATAGTCTTTGCCAAGGCTATTAGCCTTTCGCATTCAAATGTATTGGCAGAAAAGAAAATGTGAGAAATAATAGCGAATATTAATTGAAGCAAAACACTTAGCAACCATGTATTGTTTTTTTAATTCTGTGCAAATGTTGCAGGCATATGTAAAATGAATCTCTGTAATGATTTCCGTACAAAAAATACTTATTTAAATTATTGCTTATCATCATTGCTTTCTCGCAACATTCTCCATGTGTCATGTTATGTTGCATATTAAATACTCTTGCATACTTTTTGTTGCATATTAAATATCTCAATGGTTTCAAAATCTGTATTAGTGAACATGAAAGTCTCATGCTTAGAGCTGGTTTATCTAAAAGACAAATATGTCCTGCAAATCTGATTGTGTTCAATTTTATAAATTTTCTATAACATCTATGTCCACAAATTTTATTAGATCTATGTTTTTCTTTCTCCGTATTTTTTCTTAAGTAGAAATTACCCTCTTTAATTCTGACAAAAATTATCAATTTAACCATTTCACTTAATCATTTTAAAATTCTTCACNTATATATATATATATATATAAATGTATGCAAATCTTAAACTTTGTAGATAGATCGATCAGGACATTTGTACGCAGTATAATCATTTGTATATAGTAATTAACGATATTTTTAAATAAGTTACCTTATAAGATTGAAGTATAGATAAGCTGTGTTTTGAATGTATATAATTAAAATTAGATGAGTTTATTTTAAATTCTGTAAGAATTTGTTACAGAACAACAATAACAAACGGTGCATATTCAAAACCAAAATGTTGTATTGAATTTTTCAACATGCGCAAACAAAGAATTTATTTTGTAGATTAAAGGAAACGCTTATAAAATACAGTATAAGTGTTTTATTTTTTTTAAAAATTACATTAAAAGTATAAAAAATAACTAATATTACAGTAAAGTAAAGTTTAAAAAAAAAAATTTAAAAAAAAAAATTCATTACTATATCTCATTAGATTTTAATACAGTCAGACCCCGCTATAGTGAACTTTCAAGGGACCGAAATTTTGGTTCACTATAACCGGGAGTTCGTTATATCCGTTACGCAGGTAATTTAACTAATGGTTCCCAAACTCCTCCCTTTTATCATACATTATTCAAATAAATGACTGAAAAATATTATGTAGTAGCAAAAAATGTGTTATTTCTCATTACTCTTCGTCTTGCATACAAAAAAAAATTAGTAATCTTTAGCTGACACTTCCCGACTCTCAGATAATTTTTCCTGAATTTCTGTTATTCTGCTTTTTAAACGTGTCTAACCTGCCTTTCGAGCACATGAAAGTAGTCTCATAAAATCGCTTAGCAAATTCATCGACATTTGTCCAGATACTGGAAGATTGCGGTTACTTCGATTGGTGAACCACTTCAGTAATGCTTCTTCAACATCCTTGTGATCTGCTTTTCTCAACTTTTTTCTGCCATTTAATTTTTTTTCATGAGCAGAAATTATTAATTGCCTATTTTTCCATATGCTACAAACTGCAGATTTGGATAGTTTATATTCCCTGCAAATATCAGCTTGATTGCATCCATTTTCAATTTTTCTAACTATGTCCTTTGAAGAAATAATGAATAATTACTCATTCCCTTTGATGGAAAATGCATATTGATCTCACTGTCACCTTACAGGTGCATCATCTGCCTGGGTTGGAAACACCTGCTTGGTTTGCTTAGGAATGGGAAAGTGAGATGAATGAAGCAAACAAGAAAAAATGCTTATCGCTACTTTCCCCTCTTTAGATGGTTTTAAAAATCGGTATATGTATTTATTTTGAAGTAGAAATTTCAAAATTATTACCAAAAAAATTTTACAAATATTAGTCGAAGACAGAAAAAAGTTCATTATATCCAACTTCCTCACTTTTTTAGTTCACTATATCCACAAAAAATAACATTATCCGTGTATAACAAGGCACGGGACCGAACATTTCGTTCACTATATCTGGGAGTTCACTATAATCCGAGTTCACTATAGCGGGGGTTGACTGTATTTATTTTTATAAAATGAAACTTTTTTAAGTGTAAAGATTTTATCTTTTTAATTGCAATAAAGTTAATAAAAAAATGTGTCAGAAATTCCATTAAGTGGTTAAAATATCCCAAGTATTAATTTTAGTATCCTTTTGTTTTTCTTTGATTAATCAAATTAGTGATCATTTTAGGACAAATGGTATATATTCTTAAGAAAATTGTGTTTTCAATTAAGCAGTAAGATTAAACCTAAGCTTTGTATTTTTTTATATTAAAATTTCTTTTCGCAAAATGCCAATTAATGTTAATTTTTCTATGAAAACTAAAGAATTGGTATATTTAAAAAGTAGATATCTCAGGAACTATTCAACCGATATTTACTAAAATTTTGTATTTTGCCATGTGAAATTTCATAGTACTTTTAAAAATTTTGTACCTTACAATTCAAAATTTTTTCAACTATTATTAAATAAATAATAAATATTTACTAAAATTTAGTTTTTGCATGGAATTATCTTTGGATATACAAATTTTATTATTGTGCACTAAATTTTTTAAAGTCCGCTTGAAAAGTTCTCAAGCTGTGGCGAAATACACAAAAAGTAAAATTAACATTAAAGGGTTCAAACTTAAGGTCGCTCTTTTGACCAAACTATGGGGACCATATTTTCCACATTACGGCTTTCCCCTATGTTTTGGGATCAAAAATCCAAATTCGTTGAAAAAAAGCATGTTTTTATTCAGAAAAATTTCTTTATTGTATCTGATTACATAACTTGAAACATCGTCTACGCTAATTAATTAGCATAACTGAGGTCCTAGAACGTGCAGATCCGATCATTAGATCTAAAGTTATTTTAGGTGGTTCTTTTTTTGGTGCACTGTACATACATTCAAAAACGCTGTGGATCTAACTGTTTACTTTAAAACTCTTTTCAACCACTGCTTCACGCATTTCATGTCAAAGAAAGTGTTTTCTATAGGTTTTGATAAATATTTTATGTAAATAATTTGCAGCTCTAATCAGTTAAAATTTAGAATTATCGCACTTTTTTAAGTATCATTTATCTTTGGTTTTCTTCGTTAGGTTATCACAAATAAAATTTTTGCGATGACATTGCCGAATTTATATTTTAAAAGCTGTATGAAACCACATGTTTCTTTTATAGTTATTTACCCTTTCAAGAGGGGTTTTCTTTAAATTTAAGTAAATGTAACTTGGCAAGAAGGAACGAAAAAGATTTGAAGTTATTTATTAAACCATGAGAAAATTGTTGTAAGTTCTGAATATTTTATTTCAAATTATACTATTTGTATAGTTAATCTCTATTTTGGTGAGTTGAACTTTTAATTCATCTTATGTAAATCTAATTGTTGCATATTGAAAATAAAGGTTACATATCGGGTCCTTTGTGTAGTATGGTCATATTAGAGTACTTATACATTTTGAAGGGTGGTAAAAAACCTATGTTGTTATAGGTACTGTGGAAATCCGTTTTTACGGTCCACAGAAAAGGAAAAAATTGTTGATTGTGGTGATTTTTGACTATCAGTGACTGACCTCGTGCATTAGCATTATGCCAAATGATTCTTAATATAATTTATCTTTTTTGATGGGATGAACTTCTAAAAACATGTTCTGCTTAACCTAATGACATAAAACCATTGCATAGGGCAAAAAATAATAAATTTTAAAAAATTTAAACTATTTTAGCTTAATTAATTGTTTTGGTGTTCGTCTTTCAGTTTCACACCAATTTATTGATTATTTACTTTTTCTTACCTTACAAAGAATGGGTATTCAACTAGTTAGTAATAACGAAGAGACGAATAAAGCAACCAAAACAGAAGCTTTCAGATTTCTTTTGCAAAACCAACTCAACAAATTTCTCCATCTCACAAGGTTTTTTTTTTTACCCACGAATTATCAATTCGATGTAGTTATTCATGCCATACAAAGAGTACTTTTTTTAGTTAGAAGGCTTCATGTTATCGAAATTTAGAAAAGAAGGGGAAAGGGACTAAGTGTGAATAAAAAAATTCAAGAAAAAGCTTGAGAGTTGATTTTCCCTAACAAAAGTATCCGGTTGAAAGAGGTCCTACTTTCTTGCCTTTTTTTAAAAAAAGAAAATTCCATCGAAAATGTTTGTTCCTAAAATAAAAAAATATTTGTTATCACCCTCTAACTGCCTTATGATAATATGACTTTGTATATTGTCCTTCGTAGCATCTAGCTTTACTGAGTTATTTTCAGTGCCCATTGACGGGTATATAATTTACTGAAAGAAATAAAGTTTTAAGATATATGATTTGCAAAAATGAATTGATTTTAATCGTATGATTAACTAGAACTTACTAAAATTCCGAACGATAATGCTTAAGGACAATCAATCCACTCTGACGTCATCATAACATCTTGAAGTTTATCCATGTTGTATGGGGACCCGGTGCCTTTTACCAAAACTTGAAGAGAATGGTTAGTTTGA